GCTTGGCAGAAATGGCAGCTGAAATATCGGCAGTCAATTGAGAAGATGGTTCGAGGCTTCCGTGAGCTTGTGCGGAAAGCTGAGCAGCAAGTTCAGCGACGATCGAAGCGGCTGCTTGAAGGTTAGCATCAGCACTTCCTTGAGCTTCAGCAGAAAGTTGAGCCGATACATCAGCGACAATTGAAGCTGTGGCATCGAAACTAGCGTGAGCTTCTGCAGAGAACGAGGCAACGACATTGGCGACGATTGTTGCAGCAGCTTGGCTATCCACGTTTCCAACGACATGTCCCGAAAGTTCGGCCATAATATGTGCGGCTGCTTGAAGATCAACATTTCCGTTTGCTTGGCGGACGATCCAGCGTTGAGGGCTCCTTGAAGGGCTCCAGTGGCAGCTCGCCATTAAAAAAACGAGCGCAGGCGTTCTGAAAAATATTCCCCTAATACTAGACGAAACAGATTCAAATTCAGAAGGTAGTAGAAATCGGGTAACTGGGGAAGTGATGGCGTTCCACAGGGGAGCATTTGAAGAGAAATAGTCAGAGGAGTAGGGCCGTACAATAATTAAATTCATAGGGCGACGAGAGGAGGAAGAATATTTAACAAGAGTGTTGCCGAATTAAAAAAAAAACGGAGACCTGAGAATTTGAAAATCGTCGCTTCTCTTTGATCTACGAAAAAGCGCGGCAAAAACGTAATATTTCAGACTTTCGCCTCGTTCGAGCCAATTTCGCAACTAAGTTCGGTTTTTCGATGGAGAAAAAGATTTTAGAGATGCTAGCGATCCTTTTCATACCAAGAAATCTGAATTTTGTCCAAGAAAATCCCACTAAATTCACAGAAATAAGTTTCGTTTACTACTGTAGTGATTTTTGGGCGACGCCCCGTAAATCGACACGGAAGCCGCCCGCGAAATTTTCCAAGTCCCACTTTTTTTAATTCGACAATAGAGATACTAAGAAATCGAGCTATCAAGAAATGATGCTGTTGAGAAATTGAGATAATAAGAAATGGAGATATCATTGAAAGAGACTTGATAGATAGTTTCCTGTGTTCTCCATTATTAAAAGGGGTGAAACCCGGAGTAAATTCAAGTTACAGTAACCAAATGATTGAAAACAGCTGACTTTTTTTTTTGAAAAATGCCATTTTGACTTCCTTTTTTGTAACTCTTTGTCCGCAAACTAATTGAAATTTTCACCTGCTCAATTTTTTTCAATTTTTTCCATCAAACTTCTTCTTTCGCATCAAAGATTTTCCTGGACTCAGCTACATTATGAGTTGGTTCTTATTGGTATTGTTTAGCGTCTTTGCTTATTCTTATGATTTTGGGTCCAGATGTGATAAAAATTGTGAATTTGTAGAAGCTGTTATCACTTCAGAATCCATAAAAAGCTTCCCATCAGACTGTCATATTATTTGTGCTAACTTGGCGTTCAATGAAAACAACAATTTAACAGAAGAGGAGCTAAAAGTCATGTTTTATAATGTCAAAACGATATTTGGAAGTTTAACAGTTCAAAAAACTCATTTTACAACTCTCAAGTTCCTGGGGAATGTGGAAGTCATTGAATGTGGTAGGTTAGGAAACAAATTTGTTACTAAAACTAAACATTGAGATTCCAACGGATCTTTCACCATCACAGAAAATCAATTTATGACAGAACTTGGCTTAAGAAATTTGACGCGATGCGCGTGTAGTGTAGAAGTCTCTAACAACGAAAACTTTGTCCGATTGAATTTGCCGACTCTCAGAGTACGTTTCAAGCTTTTTTTTCCTGACAAATGAAAAAAAAATTCCAGTACTTTTCCTCATTTTTTGGTAACATGTCTCAAGTGGAAATGTCCATTTTAAATGTTTCTTCTGATTTTTGCATGGACATTTATGAGATGCGGAACTTTATTGCAAACGATAACTTGTACATGAAAAATGTTGGTGAGAAGTTTTGCGATGACAAAGACATCTTATGTTCTGGAATTTGCAAGCCACCCAACGGGACATGGAAACAAATGCATACGGATTGTCAGATTTTCAATGGTTCTTTAACGTTCACCGCAGGAGATGAGAATGAGGTGAAAGTATTGCGTTCTGTGATTTGGATTTTTGGACAGCTCAGAATCATCAACACGAACTTGACTAAAGTCGATTTTTTGGAGGATTTTTTTTTTCATTGGAAAGTTAGTTTATCGAACGGAAAGTGAGATTAATAAGAATTTTCAGCATCAGAAGCGATTCTAGTGGAAAATAATGTGGATCTAGTTGAATTTTCGATACCAAATCTGAAAGTGAGTCTTCGCGGTTTTTTCGGAGCAAGAATATGCACTTTTGTGTGATTTAGCTATTAAGAAATTGAAATGTTAAGAAATTGAGATATTAAGAAATTGAGCTATAAAGAAATTGAGATGTCAATGAATCAAGATATTAAGAAACTGAGATGTTGAGAAATTGAGCTGTTACGAAATGTAGCTGTTAAGAAATTGAGGTATTAAGAAACTGATACATCAAGAAATTAAGTTACGTCAGAATGCATACTCTTGCCCTGAAAAACTCCCTCCTTCTTTAATGATCTTTTGGCTTACAGAGAGTTCACACCAATCAAAAAACCTGGCTTAATCTCCGTGAAAATCACAAAAATCTAGCGAAATCCGTTATCAACCAACCGAATCTTTGTCTACCGTACGCAGACTTCAACGGGGAGACCGAATTGCATGTCACTGAAATCGACGGCGAGAATTGTGGTGAGTTGAATAATGTGAGCAATTATCTCGGTTCCTAAAAGAGACATCAAAAAAATGTGTCAATTGATAGATTACTTATCAGAATACGACCAGCATTTTTGTAGTTAGTAGATTTTGTAGTTAGTTTTTGTAGTTAGCAGATTTTTTTTCTTTTATAGGAACTGAGTTAATTGAGCTCAAAGTTTGAAGGAGAGTTAAAGTTGTAATTCAGAAAATATCGCCAATAAAAACAGGGATATTTCCCTTTCCCGCTTCCTGTGCTTTTCTATGCTTGCTGTCTTCTGGAAGTTCAAAGTTGATAATTAATTTTTTTTTTCATTTCAAATACAAATCAGTGCATTCCTTATCCGACACATTAACAATAAAAGTTCTGATAAAACGGAAAGTCCTATACTTCACATAAACCGGCTTCATCATGATGTACTTCTTGTCTTCCAGCAACTTGAACACGAAATCATGAAATTTCATCATTTCAACCTCAGAGTTTGGCTCAAAAATGTCCTTGTGTAGTTCTACATTAATCTGACAAATCTTCACGCCCTCTTTGTCGATCAGTCCGTTGCTGTGGAGTTGCTCAAGAATTGGATACTCGTTTTGCTCGATATCAATCCATAAAATATCGATTCGATCCTTGTGAAGAATATTTTTGAAGAAATAGTCCACTCCGATATGTTTCGTGATTTCTTCTTCGTATTTTTCTTCTGGAAAATATTGCAATTGTTTTTACAAAGAAAATGTTGTACATATAATCCACTCGAGGAGTTGAACTTGTGGGTCCACCTTTGGAGGTTCGCCCCTTTAAAGAATTCGGGAGCTTACTTTCAAAAACTCTAGACTTTCGCATTCCACTTGTCCCACTGACTGCGTATTCGAAATATTTGCCTCCTAAAGTATTGACATAGAGATCTTTGTTAATATCAGACGCTGGATCGGCACCGAAGAATTCAATATTGGGGTAGAGCTGAAATTCGAAAATTTGGAATTCAGGAAAACTTCGAATACCTCTTTCAGTTTAACTTCCGCATTCACGTCGTGGCCGATTCCAAGAGTGACCATTGTTAAATGCTCGGCTTGTCTTGGAAATGCCACATATTTTATCTCATCTCGGTTCTTGGCAGGTCGGATATCCAAAGCTTCATACTCTTCCAAGTTATCACATCCCACAGTCAGATTTGTGAATGAGTGCCAGAACTGAAATCCAAAAATCAAGATGGTTCTTAAAAAACCTTTTGGGACCCAACCTGCTCATAGTTTCCCTTCAAATGTGCCAATTTGGGACGAACACAATCATGGAATGCATTGAAAACATGCGAGTAATTTTTTGGACTCTCTTCTTTTGCAAACATAGTGAAAATCAAACCTCCAACAAATATTAAAGTTGCCAGAATGATGAGTTTGTCAAAAACTCGACGTTTGCTTGAGGAGCCTGAAACTAATCAAAAAGTTAAAATCAAGAAATTAAAAAAAGTATCCTACCTTCATTTAGCAGAAGATACCGGTGCGACATATTTGGAAATCTAATGAGGAAAAAATCAAGACGATCTCACTCCACTTTGTCTCCTTTTGTTCTGTTTCTTACAGAATCGACCACTGCGATCGGCTTGAGATGGTTATCCGCCCTTTTTTTGTGATACAGGTGTCTGGAGGAGGGAAAAAGTGCAATGTTGAAAATCTTTGAATCAGAGAGAACGGGTTTTAATAAGAAGTTTTTAAAAAATCTAATAAAGGATATTTCACGATACCGGGCAAGGAGACACTTTGAAGCCCAGAAAAAGTAGTTTAGAATATTTAGTTTTGTCTGAAAATTGCAGAGTATAGTAAACAATAATAGCGCTTTGTCCTTGAAACTGACAACTTTTTGTAGAAATCCAACTAAACGAGTTCAGTGGTTTTTAAGGCATACACCTCTTATTTCAGTGATAAGTTCGACACATTTTTTGGTTAAAAAGTTAACACCCATCAGAATAAAATTGGCAAAAAATTGTCAAAATTGAAACTTTTTCATGTATAGTATAATCTGTGATTTTCATGGCAGTTGAAATATCCTGAAATCTGTTTTCAGGGCATCAAAAATGACTTTATTTCACTGTAATATAACGGCACCCTTCAGCTCAATTATCTCAATTGCTTTTAGAGTTATCACAATCTTGAACTACAAATATGTTCCCGAAATTATGATGAAAAGTTTATCAGACTGTTATAGAAAAAATTGAAAGCTGCACTTGGGTTCAAGCCAATGGGTCAGAAATCGCGCCCCAGTAAACGTGAGATTTTAGAAAAAATTCGCTGCTGAATTATGCGGCTGAGGATCAAACTTTTAAACGTGGCACGAAAAAATCACGCGTTGCAACTCGTTGATTAAAATTAATTAGGTCAAATCCACGTCAACTTGGAAATTATCAAATTTCTTCTGGCCTAAAAGTTATTTGGGGCGCGTTTTTTGACCCGTTGGCTTGAACCCAAGTGAAGATGTTATCGGAATCTGTGTCTTAAACTAAAAGTTTGAGGATTTGCTGCATAGCATATTTTTGCCAGGAGCAACAAATGTGCCAACTACCAAATTAGAGATTTAGGATTGCTTTATAATTACAGAAATTTTTAGACCAAATGATGAATTATAGAATACCTATTGAGACACTTAAATTGGGTCAATTTAAACAAACGTAAAACCGGTAACAAAAGGAAAATGGAGAGGAAAACGATTTTCCGGAACAGAAAAAAGGGTTAATATCGGCGAATTTCTCGAAATCTTGTTGTTTTTTTGAAGCAGATATATGAAACAAAACATTTTTAGAAAAAAAAGTTAATTTTAGTGTCTTGAGAGTGAATTTTTCGAAATTTTCAAAATGGCTTAGTTGGCTGCATCAGTCTGAAAAAAAATAATATAAATTTCAGAGGAAACATATTTAAATATGTGTTTATTAGGGCAATGTAAAGTTTGATCAATTTTTCCAATAGTGAACTATAACTCATGAGTTATGTAACTTTTTGAGGAGTCATTTTCCAGCTCACGGTTCCATTGTATTTCCCTTTTCACTCTGAAACTATCGTCTGCCGAGTTGAATGATGAAATATCATTTCCTACTAGCTCCAAAAATCATAAATTAACCCCTATTTTACAATTTTCACTCAATTATGATGAAGACAGGGTCAGATTTAGATAGAAAAATAGCGGAATCTCCTGAAAACATTCCACTCAAAAGAAATTTCACCAATAATCATAATTGCCATTTTTATCACTCTTCCGAACATTGTATTATGTATTGATAGGTTTAACTTGGTGAAAACTCGAAATTATCAATTTTCGGGCTAACAATATCACTGACGTATATCCCGACACCGGAAATACGCCAACATTTTCCGGAAAATACAGGCTGGAAAACGATCGTTTACCGGAAAATGTTTTCCATTTCGTTTTCCGCTTCTTGCATACGAAAAACGGCATTTTCCGGAAAACGCGTTTTCCAAGGAAAACATTTTCCAAAGAAAACGGTTTTCTGGAAAATCCTTCTTGCATACGGCCTCAGTACTGTAGCATGTTGTTTTCATACAAAACCTCTATTCAAAACTTCCAAATTCCGTATTTTAAAATTCCCCTGATCATTGCTTCACCTTTTTTTCCTATCTCAGGAACAATCTTCAACGGCATTATTCGTTTTGATCCGTGACAGATTGGGATCCATTTCTTGGCATTTCGGAAAAAACCGGTCAAGATCTTTTCTGAGGTGCTTTTAGAAAATCCATTTTTCTACTCCTTCTAATTTTTCAAATGAATTTCGCATCTTTACCCGTCATCTATTCCAGCACCAAAAAAAGAAATGGGGTCTTCGCGATATGGAAGGATTTCAAAAGAAAACTAATTGTACTGCTGACTATAGCAGTTTTTGTGGTTATCTAAAGGTCTAACATGGACTCCCAAGTTTTGCCCTAGAAAAAAATCGAAACGTACATGGTTAAAAAGAGCGTAAAAAGTTATCCAAGAATCCGAGAGGAATAGTTGATAAAAAATTTTTTGCGGAGTAATGGTCCAAAAAGTACCAAAAAATAGCTAAATTATCAAAAAATCATAACTTTGTCAGTTTATGTTCGTTTGTTGAAATTCAAAAAACAGTAAATAGACAATCAATTGAACTTTTGGAAAAAATTTTTTTGATTTTTTTTCTCATTGATAGTATTATTGATTTTTTGAAAAAACCTAAAAAATTTTCAATATCTCAAAAATCCCAAGTTAACTTTTTTTCTTGGTTTGACTATTGAGGGGCATACTTGTTTTTGTGGTTTTTCATGCGTATTACCCCTATTTTTGGTGAAGCGTGACACGTCGAAGACCATAACTATAGTTAAACTTGACGAAAACAGTCAAACTCTTGTTTTCACATGTTTAGAATGACAGAATCTTGTGTTTGGATAGCACCGAGAATCTGCATCAAGATCCAGTTCATGAATCGTCTCGGAGAATCGCCAAAATCTCTACTTCCACATATCCTTAATTTCATTATTTCCATTCTTCTGAATCGGTCGTTGCACGTGGATCAGATGAGGTGTTTTGATATGGATTCTTGAAGAAGGAAATTCCAGAAATGAGTCATGAATAGAGCTGTACAGCTCTTACCTCTTTGTCGGATCTTCTCGATGGCTTGCATGAATCCACGTAGTATT